GGAATCCTTTGGAGATTAATACGTTTGTGAGAGTGTGTAATTCAGTTTTCAGGTGGTCTTTATCGGCTAGGCATTTGGTTCTGGTGATGAGGGTCTTGGCTACAGAGTTGATCTGTGCAGGGTGGTGATGGGATTGTGCTTTTAGCTAGCGGTTGGTTTTTTTTTCCTGGTAGATGGTGTGTCCTAGGGAGCCAATGGGTTGTCCTAATCTACAAAAAACCCAGCCCTAATCAACAAATGAGCCCCACCCACCACCCAGGCCGTTACAACACAAAGCAACAACGGACACACAGCTAGCACCAATCAGCACCAATCAACGAATCATGATACAATTACACAGCCAATCAATCCACTTACTGAAACAAAGCCAGCATTCCACATACCCTCACCAAGATTTATAGAAAGACGGCAGTTCCGACCATGCTTTACTCACACAAACACAAAGCCGAAAACACCAACTTGAAGATGGCAAGTGAGACCTCGCCGAAACGTTGCCAAGACAATCTCAATCTTACACGGTAAAAGACCCGAATACAACAAGACCAGGATACCTACACCCGTGAAAATGTACGAAAACACACACACACACAGAGTCTAGGCCTAGAAAGAATGAATCATTTATTTATATTCATTATTTCTTGAATTGCCTTTAAGAGTTTAGGTTTTAAACAAGATCGTTTGCACACTACCTCCTTTACCCAGTTCACAATTAAATGGGTGCTAAATTAGCAGCAACATTTCAGCATCTGTTATCACAGTATTGAAACTGTTAATTTCCTTACCAGCAGAGCAGCAGAGGAGAGGGGAGGGGTTTGCAGCATCATTTTCACACCCTCCCAAGAAAAATCTGCATATATATTTCTCTCCAATGGAATAAGAGAATCCTCCTGAGTCAAGGAGTCCAGTGAAGTGGATTCAAGAAATTCATAACGGGCAAAGCCTGTTATTGTCAACTAAGATACAAGAGTTTATAGCTGTAGCCAGCCAAGCTGAATGGCTGTAGCCATGAAAACATCACATTTTATAAATTACCTTAAAATCAGATTAAGACTGCAATAATAAAAACTCCCTAAAAGCCACAATGAAAACAATGGCTTCTGCATTCAATATATAATGATCCATCATATATTGAACTCAAAGTTATTGTGCTACATAATAAAACACCATATATTAGCCAAGGTGGCGCAGTGGTTAAATGCAGCACTGCAGGCTACTGCTAGATCAGCAGGTCAGCGGTTCAAATCTCACCGGCTCAGGGTTGACTCAGCCTTCCATCCTTCTGAGGTGGGTAAAATGAGGACCCAGATTGTTGGGGGCAATATGCTGACTCTCTGTAAACCGCTTAGAGAGGCCTGAAAGGCCTATGAAGCGGTATATAAGTCTACTGCTATTGCTATATTAAACTTAGAAATTTTTCAATTGAGATTTGTTTCATTTTTTTAAATGTTAGTGTATATTTAGTTTTGAATAAAAATCAAAATAAACATACATCTGAAGCATGATGTCTCATTCTATGTTTTTCTTTCAATTTCTCCAAGTCAATAGAATAATTACTATTTGACACAGGACCTAGGGAAAAAAACTGAATTAAATGAGGACTATCTAATGATCAAAACTAGATAAAAAGCTTTGATTTCATTTTTAAAATCTTCTAATATTAATTCTATTATTCCTATCAGCAGCAAAAATGTAGATGAATACTGTATCAAAAATTATAATTAGCAACCAATAACATACCTCAATTAATCTGTATGTTTGAAGTAGCAGAGAAAAACATATATTGAAAAGTAAAGAGATACTTCCAGAGACTACTTTAAATAACCAATCCTGTTACATACAGTTTTAGCCCACAACTTCAAAAATAACAGTTTGTCTGAATCAATTTGCTAAAACAGGTTTCATTTTAGAAGAAGTAGCGCATTTTTCGGAGTATAAAACACACTGGACTATAAGACACATCTTGATTTAGAGGAGGAAAACAAAAAAAAGTAGTTTTTTTGCCTCCACGGGCACTCTCCAGGCCAAAAACAGGTGGGCCTCTGTGGGTCCAGTTTTTGTCCTTCCCAGCATCCAGAAGCACTCTCCAGACTAAAAACGTGCCCAGGGAGGGCAAAAATGGGACCCGCAGAAGCCTCCGGAGGCCTAAAATGGGCCCGTATTCACTATATAAGACACACAGACATTTCCACCCACTTTTTTGGTGTGTGTGTCCCATACTCTGAAAAATATGGTATATACCCTAGATTCTGACTTTTAAAAAAACAGGAAAAACATAGTCCAGTTGCCTTTTGAAAAAGCATCTTTCGGACAACCATGACCTAGATGACCAAGACTCTCCCATAGACACTTACCACTGCATGTAACAGTGTGAAGCTTGATTCCCAAAAGGTTATTTCCATTCCTCGAAGGTTCTGCTCCAAGCCAAATAATCTGTTTTGGGTCAGAAGGTTCACATCGTACCCAGAGCGGAGGAAATTGCACTGCATGGTTTATTTGTAGATGTTCCATGTTTGGATTTTGAGACATTGTGTAGAAAGAAATCAATTGCCTATCAATGGTGAAAAGACATTATGGAAGATTACTAATTACAAAATATTTGATGTATTTTTCTTAACCTTTATTTTTTTGTATCCCAAAATAGCTAACATCAATTAAAAAAGAAAGGTAGTATTTATTCCATTAGGTACATGAATGCTTATTATACACATACAAAAACCAAAGGAATCTTATAATTGTCCTTCTTTAAGGAATTGTTGGTACAAAATTCTACTCACTCGAATATCTAAAGTTGATACCATTTTGTAGAAACTAATATACGTTGAATTATAGCTGTTCTGCTAGGCAGTAAAATTAGTTTTTGCTTTAGGAAGAATAAAGATTAAAATAATCACACAAACATGCATACCTTGCTCTTGAAAGGGCCAAAGGAGATGCTGAAAAATTTTCTTTTGGGAAAGCCTCGGAAACTGAAGGTTCACCATTTTGACATACTTTCAGGCTGCTGGTTTCTTCATATGATCTCTGCAAAAAAGCAGCTGTGCTAGAAATTTGCTAAGTTCCAGAAAGGTGGAACATATGGAAGTTATTTACCAACTTACCAGTTTCTCTACAACAAAAAATCTTCCATTTTGGTCCCAAAGCTTTTCTAAGGGATTTGTATGGCCTTCATTGATCAAATGGACTTGTAGGTCAGTCTGGTAAAAAGAAACAAGTTGTTTCCATAATACAGTACTTTTCTCTATCTAAATTTAAAAATAATTTGACTTACAGCACCACATGCTTATACACTGAAAGTATGGAAGGCAAATTTATTGCAATTTGCATTCATGCATATCCTTTCCTTTGCAGCATAGTCTTGCTTCAAAGTAGCAGATGTCAGAATTTCAAACCAGATTTTTCAGTAACTTTCTAGTCTGGGATCTCCTTAGAGGACCGTGTGTTCCACCAGACTATATAAGAGTTTTAATGTTGATACATACATAACTTAGCAATCATGCTTTATAGCAGACTTCAGGACTTACGAATAGTCCTTCCCTAGCAAAGTAAAATTTATTTAAAGATAATAACCATAGTCATAGAAAAATAACACAAACCAAGCTACAGAGAAAAGAAATCTATATTTCCTTTCATAGAATATATTCAAATTAATTTGAATCAACAGTCCAAATTTGCAATTTGAATTATACAACATATCTGTTAAGATGACTTGTCATTTTTATTATTTATTATACTTATATCCTAAGTTTCCTTCTGGAGTACATATATAGCACTACCTTTCCAAATTTATCCTTACAATAAGAAGGAACATGTCACACTTAAAAATATAAATAAATTAAACTTCATTCAGCATTATACTATATTTTCCCCTTCTAGAATCTATATCTAACATTAAACTATTTAAAATCTTAGCATTTCTAAACTTTACTACCTTTAACTGCACAGCATTTCCTGTAAACCAATACTGTGTTTAAAACACTTAATAGACATACCTCAAAAGTAGAAGGGCCAGTTGTATTGTTCTGCTTTCCTTCCTCATATACTCTGAAATATAAATAGTGATTTACTTATTTTTCTGAATACTGGAAACAGATCTCAAGAGCAAAATGAAATTAATATATTTTCAGAATGTAGCCAATGCTAAAATGCTGTTTGACATGAGATGTGCCTATATACACACGTGTTAATGTTACTTTTAAAGTCAATCTACCATAAAGCAACCTAAAACAAAATAAGAAAATTCCGTCCATCACTTTCCTGCTCATTGCTAGCAGAGGAAAATACAAGACAACTCTACACCATTCTCTTGACTAAATTCCAAAGTATTTGATAAGCACAATGGCAATTACATGCACACAGAAGAAAATAGATACCCATAACAGAGTACTCAATAGTTCTCAAGAACAAATGAAACCATAACTGTGCTTATGCTCTTACTTCAGGTTCCTTTACTTTACAGACCTGTGAAAGTCATAAATATGAGGATTGGTTGAAACTTTTTCATCACAGTTATAACTGTGGTTGCTAAACAAGCCTATCACATGAGGACTACCAATAAACTATAAAGGTTCCAGCTAATATTCACAATGCATTTTGTAAACTACTACAGTTCTAGTATCTGGTCTGTCTACAGATAGACAAATATTAGATTTGCCTAATACTTTCTGTAACACACAACTTTCCACATTGCCTGTAGCTTCGGAAATGTATGTATGAATGAAAAAATAGTTGATTTTTGTTCTATTAAAAAGTGGGGTTAGTCTTGGCTAGTACTTGGATGGGACACTCAAGAAATCCTAGGGCAATAGTCTAGACTGGGAAATTTTATAAACACCTCAGAAAAATCCAGCTGGTGAACTTCGGCCAGTTACTCTCTCTCAACCCTAGGAAGAAAGCAGAAGGAAGCCATTTCCAAACATTTTGCTAAGAAAACTGCAGGGTCTAGTCTAGACAGTCATCAGGAGTCAACTGACTCAACGCCCCCCGAAAACTCCTAACACTCTTTCTATACTTTGGGCAGAATCAGCTGCCTCCTTTGACTTTGGTTCCTCCACAATGGAGCCAAAACTTTTCATTGCTAATTGAAGACAATTGTTAAGTGAGTTTTGCCCCATTTTACGCCCTGTTTCCAGTTGTTAAATGAATCACTGCAATTATTAAGTTAGTAACATGGTTAAGTGAATCTGGCTTCCACATTGACTTCACTTGTCAGAAGGTTGCAAAAGGGGATCACATGACCTCCCAGGGCATTGCAACGGTCTTAAGTATGAACCAGTTGCCAAGTATCTGAATTTTGATGACGTGACCATGGAGATGCTGCAGGGGCCATCAATGTGAAAAACAGCCATGTGTGAAAAACGACCATTTTTTTCAGTCCTGTTGTAACTTTGAACGGTCACTAAGTGAATTATTGTAACTCAAGGACTACCTGTATTAGCATTTACTGAGAGCTGGAGAGAAACCATCAGGGTCCTCTTTAATTGGTTACAGTGTGTTAATCTTTCCTTAGTTTTGTCAAGGTATATATTACCTGTATTTTTTGGAGTATGAGATGCACCAGAGTATAAGATGCACCAAGATTTTGAAGAGGTAAATTTAAAAAAAAACGTTTTTGCACTCTGCAGACCTCCCAAACCCTCTGCACACCTCATTTTTTGTGAAAAACTGGGTATGCAGAGAGTTTGAGGCCTGCTCCTGGGGGCTGGGGGGGGCAAAAATGAGCAAAAAAGTCAAGTTTTTCATGAAAATGGGCCAGTTTCCCCCCCCCCCCCGCTAAAAGGGGCAAGCATAGCCTTTAGGAGGCTTGTAGAGTGCTCCTGGGGGCTGGGGGGGGCAAAAATGAGCAAAAAAGTCAAGTTTTTCATGAAAATGGGCCAGTTTCCCCCCCCCCCCCGCTAAAAGGGGCAAGCATAGCCTTTAGGAGGCTTGTAGAGTGCTCCTGGGGGCTGGGCAAACACGACCAAAAATAACCTGTTTTTTGCAAAACCAAGCCCGTTTGTTGCCCCAAAAAGGGTATGCATAGCCTTTAGGAAGCTTACAGTTGGGGGGGGGGGGGAAGGGCCCTTTTTTTTTTTTTTTTTTTCCCCCCCCCCCCCC